AGGGGGGGGGGGGGGGGGGGGGGGGGGGGGGTGGGGCTCAAACTACAGCCTTAGCCTTTGCTTCTGAACGGCACTACCACTAACCACTGCCCTACTCTTCCTCTTTAGTATGTAAGAATAATAAATATTAATCATCACACTTTGTTGTGAAAAGGAATAAGCAGCAAATACAAAGTGACTATACTGCGATTTATGTTACAGTTTCAGCTCAACTGGATTCAATGACGATTTTTGCTAGCCACACCAAGCCCTTTGACGGATGATTGCTGATAGCACGTATAGGCTAAAACACGGCTGAGACAAAAGCGAAAAGAAGGTGCTCCATGGTGTGGTACTAACCGCATTAGCCCTCGGAAAGGGTAGTACCGACTTCGATTTTCACAGGTGAAACCTGCAGCCCGGAGTTTTGCAAATTCCTCAACATTGTTGTAGCAATAAATATTAAATTGGTTCAATACTTCTTTCCACTTAAGGGCAGTTTTAACCGCTCGGCTCCCTTTCAACGCTACCGTTTAGTACACGGGAACTCTCCTATCTCCAGGAATGTATGGAGAATCGACTCGACTAACATTCTACGATATTCATGAAGGAGACGAAATCCTCGTTGCAGTCAAAACAACATGCAAAAATTTCCAAGACCACTGCAGACGATTAATGCGAGGAAAACGAATCCAATTCATTTTCAAGGATCCATGCAGCAGATGTGGTGACGGTTCATGTAAAAATAAAAAGAAACATTTCTAGCTAACGGCTTAACTCTCCATTGATCAGCTTGGAAATGACAAATTAATGAGGTAGCTTGTCGTCGTCGCATTGTTAGAAAGAAACTAGAAGGAACTCTCACCATTTAACTCTAGAATTCCTCCGCATACGAAAAAAAGCCCAAAAAAAATACTTTTCGAAAACACAAATCTGCTTGATAAAGAAGGATTGTGTGTGAATAAAACGATTCCTCTAGATCTGGCCGACAACTCTGTCTACTGCACTGTTGCAGGAGCTACCGAAGGGTGGTGGGCCATTCTCATTGTTCAGACTTAAGCAACGAGTGGCTCTCTGTTTATGAAGATTTTCGTCATGAGAAGTTCCTCGAATCATAGTCCACTCCCGTGTTGTGGGTCATAGCAAATCAATAGCGTAAACTTAAGGAAGACTAGCTCCCTGCTGAGATTAAGACTTTAAAAGCGCGTTCGAGTGGTGAGGCGACGTATATCGCCAATTGACAGACCTCTGACAATCCCATTATGGAACCATGCTGATCGCTTCTAATAATCATGCAGAGTTTAGTTTTCATAAATACCCTTTTTCTCTTAGTTTTTCTTGACTACGGTCTACTAAGTGTTACAAATATGTTATCGTTGAGCCTAAACGAGCTTGATAAGCAAGTTTTATCCAGATAACGCTCCAACATCTTCGTCTTAATCACAGCCCATGATCCGGGACGATAGTCCGCAGTTGATCGGATTCTCGATGTGGCGTCTTCGCTTTTGTATCGAGTCCAAATAGAGTCGAATATCAAGAAGTCCACGAATAGCTGTGGACCATGGACTCGGATCATCGGCTTTGAAGAGGACGAAGACGTCGAAACGTTAGCCGAATAAAGCTATTTATCAACCTCGTGTAAGCTTATCAATGAAAGATTGCATATTGAGCGGTGAAACAGAGATTAAAGGAAAGATGGCTTTGAAATATTGCAAATATGTCGAGAGGTGTAGATTTCGAAACAGGTTGTCGTGAAGTAGTCGAAACCTTATTATAAATTTCAGCCTTTGCATTCGCTCTTATCGTATCCGTCTCTTTTAAAATTTTAGATTTAAGCGACCAGGTTTGTTGACGAGGCGAAGATCATCACAAGGAGGACAGTACGGATTAGCGTTATGAAGTTGTAGCTGACCTCGTTCGTCAACTGTCCGCCGTGTGCTTGCCGTTATCTGCTTGCGGTTTGACGATCGAATCTGCTGATAGAGGTGTCAGGTGAGGTTCACCGGAGGTGTTCACATCAAGCGGGGCGTGAATGTTAGATGCATATCTTATTGTGCGCTAATTGTCCACACTCCGTTATCCATCCAAATAATCGGCACCGATTTCCTCGATGTGATTGGTGGTACTGAGCAGTCGAGGGAAAAGGAAATTCTAAGTTACTTGTCTTAAGAAATTTCTGGATATGTAGCCTTAGAAGTTCACGGTTTCTATCTAATTTTCTGGCTACGTTTCACCTATTTTGTTAAGAAATGTTTGGCATGATGAACTTCCTGTTTGCCGTCTGGGAAATCCTTCACCGTAGAGTAACTGGATATTAGATGACTCCGTCTTTACAAGCCAGGTCTCCAACTTATTTAAAAATATATGGAACCTTTCTCTTATGTTTTCAAAGTACGAGAAAATTTCTATGCGGTTTTCACAATCTGGCAGTAATCAATGATCACACTCTGCGCAAAATTTACGGATCGTTCAATGTGTTTATAAATGTCCACTACTCGACACCGCAGTGCTTCAGTTCTTCTCTGAGTAGTGCTTAGAATAATTTTAACAACCCTTCCATATCAGATTTACACCAGGTTTATTTGGTTCTTTACGAAAAACACACTTTTCTTGAAAAGACAGTTAAGCTTTTTCCCTCGCATTCTTCTCTAGCAAACTTCAAGATTCAGAGTGAAGTTCTTTCTCACTAAAGATTTGCTCCTAAAGTTACTAGACTGATTTGTCATTTGAATTCAAAAAAATACAAAGAGGCTATGCTGTTTATATAGATAGATTCTTTGTTTTCTCATATTACAGTCACTAATTGCAAATTTTCTAAGAGTCTATAGCTAATCCATTCAGGCAGAGTTTCCCATATGGCCAGATTTTTGAAATGCTTGAGACCGTATTATCTGTAATCAATGGCAAGAGGATATGGACAACGACTTCTTTACGAGATCTTCTTTAAAATAAAATAAAATCTTCATTGATTTCTGCAATACCAGGATTGCTCATCATTCATCTACCAAGTTGGAAATCCTGAAGTGAAAATTCTCATTTGGAGACTGTCGAAAAGGCTTGAAGAAGTTTCTGGTATTCTATGAGTAATTGCTATTCTTGGTTGCATAACATACACGCTCTTGAACGTGTAGATTCTAAAATCACAAAAACATTCTGATAGGCGATTCCATGACGTGTCACATATGCTAATAACGTGTTCTCATCGTGTTCCTTTTCATCAGGTGAATTATTTGGGTAGCGACGTACCTGCTCTCCACGCTCGGCTTTGCCGTTTGCAGAACCGAGTCCATTAGCGGTCGTCTTTGTAAGAGGACCCGATGATTTTACAAGCTTAGCACGACGAAAGCACGGCATTTGACACATATAATGGCATGTTCTCGTCCATTCTTATCTTGCCGACGATTACGACAATGAGACCTGATCTGAAAGTGAGGGTGAGATTACCGTCAGGGTTCAAACCCGTTCTGTAACAGGTATACTTAATAGTTCGCAAATGTTTATCAATACCTTGACGGATAACACTACTAAAAGTATTTTCTACTAATCTGAGTACACATTCAAGTATCGCATTCTCTTCCTGCTGTCTCTACATCCCCATTGGACCCTCTTTTCTGGTACCTTGTGAAGAAAATCATACGAACACTAGTGACGGTGTGGCGTGAAGATATTTCATCTAGGTGCACTGACCTTTTGATAGGAGCTCATCTTCAATGGGAGTTTTCACTAGCAGAAGATACACCATTGATTACCATGAAGTTAGGAGTGAAGATTGCCGTAATCGTTTTCGAAGCTCGGCAATTATCTGCTTGCGTTTTTCTCTGAGTACCATCCTCTTTATGTAATTTAACTCAACACCTTTCGTGTAAAATGGAAAGTGATCTGTTTGAAGCAGCCATTTTTTGATTGGATTTGAATTGGATTTTGGATTGATTGGATTTTTGATTGGAAAGATTTTAATAGATTGTTTAATTTTTGTTCCTTTGTTCTACATGATCCACTCTCACATTTACTGTTTGGATCTCAACACTACGTGGATTCGATTTATTTCCTCATGTCCATCATTCAATTTGAATGGAGGTCTGCTCTATCCAGTGATTTGCCGTAGCCCACCGATGTATCAAGTCAATGCTGTATCCTCTTAGGCAAATGTAGTATTATAGCAAGATCCCGACCCTAAAGGAATGATATTAGTTTGTGACATAAGAAATGTCCGATTTTAGATGTAAACTTCAAGTATCCACAACTTTTTCGTACTTGCTTTTATTAATCGAAATAGCACCACTAAATCATCACATTTTTCCCAATAAGAAACAAACTGTGCAACTTCATTAGTATAAAAGTTGTCGGCTCTAGTGGCGATGAATTTTATAAGGGCATTTTCAACAGTTGTTCGGTCGTTAAAGTTTTTTTCCATCAGAAAGTGACGTGAAATGGTTATAGCACTCACTCCAAACACTGTCGCAAGTTTTCGGACGGCTTGACGATTCGACTAGAGTAAGGAGTGCCTCATCGTTAATCGTAATTTCTGCCCAACCACACTCGTGGTTTGCAAGACCTTCATCTCCGGATTCATACCTTGTGTACCAACAACGAATGGTGCGTTCGTTATGAAAGCCGTCTCTAAACGTGGCAATGATATTCCGAGCCCCTGTGGCTGCATTAAGTCCACTCTTTCACCCGTGCAAAGGAAGGACACGGTGATCACTTTGATTAATACTAAGGTTGAAGCCCGTACAAATTTCAAAATAATAGATCTGGAAAAATCCAATGGAAAAAGCAGATTTTGTTCTTCAGAAATGTGTATTAAACAGTATTAAACATAGATAAAGAACAAAATTTTTGTTTGACAATATCGTAAAAATTAAAATAATAAAGTCAAACATTTCGTTTGTTACAAGCTAGCAAAGTGTGTGAGCTCAGCGCGAAGTAGAAGCAGCTCCATGTTCGTAAGGAACGGCGTCACTGTCACCGCGCTAGCTGCCTCTTAACGGATTGCTTAAGTAAAACAAATTACAAACGGTCACTTTTTGTGTATTATTAAAAGTTTTATTTTACCCTTTCAAAGGTTTACCGTCTTATCGTAGTTGAAAAGTGTTTCTGGGTGTCAGGCTTCGATGTACAGCAGATGGATTCATACCTCTGCGTATTTTTGTTGAGCAAACGCGAGGTGTTATTATTCTTTGTTCACGATTAAGCTGACGTTTCGGCGGATTTCGCCTTCCTCAGAACCTGGAACGGTCAAGTTGATAGCAATCCACTCGGCCAGACGCCTCCTCCATTCATACCTCTTCCCCTGGCATGGTTTCCTAAGCTGAGGAGTCTGGCGTTTCCATCAGGAAGCCTAGTTAAGAAGAAACCAGTACCAGGGTCGCATGGTGGCAAATCTCCCTCTGATCCACAAGGACTGTGACTGCTTGTGGTGGTGAAAACCTGAGGCAAACCTTGGCCAGGATGACCTTGGGATTCCAGAGAACCATAACGGCTTAACCAGCAAATCTCCGAAAAAATGGAGATTATGCTGGGGTCCGCGCAACCAGTGAGGAAAGGTCATTTAAATATCAAATAAGTAGGCTTATTCTTCCGTTGTCTTAACGTCTTTATGACTTCAGGACCAGACTGATCTAAATCTATGGTCCTCAGCAGGTCGTTCTCGTTAGTGAAGAATCTCATTTGGCGGTGCCCTTCTAGACATAGCGGTTGATCTACTGCGCTATAGAGCATGATTTGTTGACCTGTTTCCATGGTGGCAGCGCATCCTGCAGAACTCGGTGTTATATTAGTTGGTATATGGTTTAGCAATATTTCTAAAACCAATTTATCCGAACCGTGCTCTTTCCGATAGGTTCGACTCGCTGCGATGGCGACAACCCACATTGCGAGGAAGACAAATTGTGAACCATCGAGTCGAGTCAATTCGGCTCTGAAGAAGAAGACATTTAGCCGAATAAAATCCCTTGCCGATTTCGTAATAGTATAATAATGAGAGAAAATAATGATTATTTATATCGAGGTTAAATGAATATCACTTTGAGAAAAAATCAGTTCTTGAATGGACACAAGCAGAATCTTATTCTTTACCACGCAATAAAGCGAGCTTGCAATCTCTACAGACGGTTGACTTTGTTTTTGCAGCTCCATGAAGAGATTTGCTGAAGCTTTACTTAGTAAGTTTATGAGAACAAGAGCAGATAGCATAGTGAAAGTGATATCCGTCATCACCAGCATAGTGTTAGTTTGATTCCGCTCCGGGTCAACCAAGCCTCTTACCCTCTGGGATTCTGGGATCTGGAAATTGGCACCAGACTTGTCTGAGGGAAAAACCACTATTTGCAATCCAAACGAAAACGATCCGGCCCAGCTATCTCAGGACTCCAGGATGAATTACTCGATCAGCATTCTACGACACTCCTCAAGATGATAGAAAGAAATGGAAATCCTCAAGCAGCAACCGAAGCCACACATAAAAAGTTGGAAGGTCTCCGTGGACATTGGATGCGAGGAAACGAATCGAATGCGTAGTGCTGGGATCTGCACAGCAGACGTGATTACGGATCACATAAAATAAATTAAAAATAATTTTTTTTATAAAGTGAAATAAAAAAATTTGTGAGAGTTGGATTATTTATTGGAGTGCTTCAAATGCTTCAACTGTATGGTCCATTTTTATATAGGAACAAAAAGACTAGTGGTTATCAAAATAGATTGAAGAACTTTTTAAAGACATTTCCTAAATTCTACGAGTTAAACATCATGCAGTACTCTGCTTCTTCTTTTCTATGTGGCACCGTGCAAAAGATTTTTTAACCAACTACTACCCCTAACTAGATTTCTGGTGTCTCTGGCAGAATCTGGTATGCATAGAATGGAGCACAGACTTATTTATGAAGACAGGAGAATAAGATATCTTCAGTGCACATATTGTGTATTAGAGTCATTAGCAGCGGCACAGAGCCAGCCATAGTTAGCCGCCTTTTTTATCCTTTGCCTGACATCGGAAAAAAATATCAGGCGCATAGCCTCTCTAACGACTCTATTAGTAAACCATTTCTGGTTTTTTGATATGCGTTAGTTAATATTACTTTAGTTTCAATGTTTATTCAGTTGAAACGTTTTTCTCCCATCCTCAGCTTCTCATCTATTTTCCTATAAATTTATGAGCGGCCAACACGCTAAAACTAAGCCCAGGACTCCTTCTGTTCCGCATGTCTACCGTCGATGTGATGGCAAATCCAGTTTTGATCAAAAATTAGTTTCCACTTTCGTAGGCTTAGCGGAGTTCAATTTCAAAAAAGTCTGATTCGTCTTCATTTCCAGTCTGCTTATGAAAACTTGTTTCTGTCCGTCCTAACATCTTGAAAAAGGACATGCTTCCACCAGGTTCTTGGTTCTCACCTTCCTGACATTCTTCCAGAATAGAAGAATAAAGGAGGAAAACACTTTTGACACTAGGTCACGAATTTGAAAGAATTTCTGAAAGAATGAACACATTTGGTAGCAGTCTGCACCCTATTTCTCGCCGTAAATGCAAAGTGCGTATTAAACAAAATAACGGCCTTCCAACGATTTTGCTTCTTTGGATTTTTAACCATAGAGTTATTTTAAAGTCTAAAGTACCCAAATGTTAAAGCGATGAGATTCACTGTTTTGTTGAGATTTTCTAAGATTGTTAAAGATGAATCAGCTTATAAATGAAGACTTATGAAGAACTAGGTGGAGAGATGGCCTATGAGTTTTTCCGAAAACATGCCTTTTTTGTCAACGCGATTGTCATATTAAGAGCTCTTCATTTAGGATTTAATTCTCCGGGAGAAAATACGTGCGCGAGCAGAAAATACGCATTGGGCAACCCTCAATAACTGCACCTGCAAAATACTGTCTCCTATATTTTTAGCGTCAAGATGAGGGTTAGAATAAAATAAAATTGAGTATCACTGCAAACCGACCTTTATTTAACCTCGGTACAAATAAATATAAATAATAAACAAGCTAAGACGAAGTTACCTCCAGATATTTATTCGGCTAACCTTTCGATGTCTTCGTCTTCTTCAGAATCGATGATGCGAGACGATGGTCCACAGCCGTTCGTCTTCTCGATGCGATGTCGTCGCCTCATGGAGTCGGATCCTATTCAGTACAGCACCGTTTGAATGCGAATGGTCATTTGTCAAAGCGTTAAAAAAAATAAAAGGATAAAACTAGCCAGCACCGATCAGTCCCTGAGGGATGCGCCCTGCATTCGATTACAACATTCAGCACCGTTGAAGGTAATTGAATGTACTTCTGGCCTTCACATGCACTCGCTGTGGGCTATCGATGTACCGAGCCAGTGCTACCATTTGGCCAGATAAATTCGGTGCCAATTTACCGACCTTAGAGAGATGAAACGGCTGGTCAGTCTGGAGCGCGTGGATCGATCCTATGTGTGTTGCAGGAGGCCTCCGACCACTGCGCTACACACGACCCAGGCTGCCGAAACGTTTGCGGAATAATTATTTGGTAATAGCCTTGTGGTAGCTTGTCAATAAAACAAGGCACATAAAATTGAGTGTTGTATGGCTAAGGTTTTTGAATTTACTTTCTGATTTTTTTCAAGCGATTTTTTCAGAACACAACGCTAAATTGCTTATTATCACCTATATGAGGTACCGTAGCATCTGCTGTGTCAGCACAAAAAAAAACGAAAGTAGTGCTAATAGTCTCTTAACGTGTCCTAATCTCACAGAGACTGCCCATCAAATTCGTCATGCTATTCTGAATTCTCTTGAGCCAACGTTGTTGAATTGATCTTAGAGCGGTTCACGTCTATGTACATTCGGGACATTTGTTGGCCCGGCGAGTGTCCGAAGAAATTACAGATCCTGAAGGGATTAGATGAGCTTCAATAGAGACAAAACTATTTTAAATAATAAAGAAAAAAATTTACCTTAACTGCTTCCGATAGTGGTGCGTTTACACACCCCACATAGATCATATCGTCAGGTTCAATTTATTTGTATCCTCTGAAATGATCATCGGAAACATATTCCTAAATGAAAAGGAATGCAAAATGAAAGGAAATGCACTCGGAAGAGCTATTTTTAACGTTCTCACAAACGCAAAAATCGGAAGTAACTTCCTTTACAACTTAAAGTGCCTAAATGGCTCCAGGATGTGAACTTGTGCATCGTGAAACTCTAAAGACTCAACTTGGACTTCACTTCACATTCTCATTTCTTCTAGTATCGCGGAGGCTTGGCATTTTCTTCACACGGTTTCTCTTCCAAGCGCCTTGAAACCAGCGACCATCATTGGCACTTTTTTTTGTTTTGCTTCTCCTCTCATTTTTATTCTCTATATCTGTATCTTTGCCTGTTATGATTTGCTTTTTTTTTTCGCTTTTCTCCCTTAGCTTCTCTGTTTTGCTCTCACATCTCAATTTGACCTTTCCAGACTCTGAAAAAGGCGAAACCGCCGAAACGTCAGCAATTGTGTTCTAATAAATTCTATATTAACAACCTCGTGTCTGCTTATTGATGAAAAACATTGAATTCAACATATCGTTGAGATCCACAGGTTCCCACGTCGCAGCAGAATCAGTATTGGAGCCAAATGACTTCTAGGGATGACGGTAGCGGAAAGCCAAAATAAAGTAACCAATAAAAAAATATCATTCAGTTTACTACTTTACTGCATGCTTCAATTATCTCATTTGTTACGGATCACAGCAAAATGGAAGACCTCGAGCCGCTCAGAATCACTTTATTTAAAAGGTTCAGCGTGTCCCATTCGGGTTTTTATTGCCAGAGCATTCGAGGTTGTGTTGTCATCTCCTCTCTATCATTGCTCATCTTTCTACTTTTCAAACCGACCGCCGTTTAACCTAGGTAGTAATACGAAATGCATTCCTGGATTGTTGAACCAGCACGTTGATGATAAAGAGATCTATTCGGCTAACGGTTCGGTGTTTTATCTTCGTCTGAGCTGATGATCCGAGTCGATAGGCCACCGTTGCTCGTGTACTCGATGTGGCGTTTTCTTCGCATACCTTGGCAGATCTTCAGAGGAACACCACTCGATTAAGTCAAGCTCACTCAACTACGCTCTTTTATACAGGACGAATTTTGTTACTCATTGAAAAGCATACATAAAATGAAAAGCATATCAACCAATAGCCATATCAATAACAATTATCCTAAATGAAAGAGCGTAGCAGGGTAAGTTTGTCTTATTCGAGCGGTGTTCTTCTTGAGAAGGTCCGACTCGGTACGCGATGAAGACGCCACATCGAGATGAGAAATATCTGTTGACCGTCGACTTGGGTCACCGGCTCTGATGAAGATGAAGACGTCGAAGCGTTAACCGAATGAATCGGTTATCTACTATTCGAAAATTTAGGATATACTTTATAACGAATAAGTAGATTTCCAACTTATCTCAATTATCTGAGGCCCCCGAACTGCGAGCAGTCCTATTCGTGAATGCAAGCAGAATGGCGACTTATTTTATAAAACTTAAAGAATAAGATCTGGAAGGATTAGAACACTTGCTAATTACGCAAGAAGCAATTGTGTAGGCAAACACATTGCTCAATCATACGCTTCTCCCATTCTTAGCAATCTGTCAAATCTATTTAGTCGATGATAGAAATTACGGAGAGTGGCCAATAGTTTCAGATGCAGCGTAGCAAAATCCTCTGTGCAAGAACAGTGTAGTGCTTTTTTTCCACTGACTGCATTCTTGCGTTCTCAAAGGAGTGCGAAATACCGAAACATTCTGTTGATGAGGACAGGCACAGTGGCTTCTATAAATGCTTAAATCTAATCCGGGCTGGACAGAGTGGTGTTCACAAACGAAATGCACTTTGGTGAACGTTGGACCTCAAACTGGGTAACGGTAGAGGGAACGTTTCCATCTCTTCCGGGGATTTCATGACGCCTGGCCGTAGCTGTTAAAAGAATGAAGACAGAAGTGGTAGGTAACTTCTGTTTCCATTCTGAGCATATTAAATGCTTTGCATAAGCGTCTTGGGTTTTAATTTGCTTAATAATTTGTGTCGACTTATCAGTACATCTTATTCTTTTCACTGGAATTTGTGCTTCTCGATATGAAGTTCTAGAAACATTTATCTAGAATCGACCTCGTCAATGTAGGCTCAAACGTTGGAAAACGTATGAGCTCTTCTGTAGCACTTCTAAGACGCTATATAGAATTCTTTAATTTTGTTTTAGCCATTCCCTAATATTGAAATGTGGGTGATGGTGGCTGTGACTGTCAAAGCGGGTATTGTCAGACTTCTGTCAACCGTCACCGTAGAAGTTGTTCAGCTTGTTGCACTACAATGCCTCGCACGCCAATTGACGACGGTCCATCTACCTAAACAAATTCATGACTCTTTTGACTTCAATACTACTACATTCTACAATGAAGAGATAGAAAAATCATGAGGGATCAATAGAAAACTTGTTTTTAACCACTGTTTATTTGTCAAGTTCGACATATTTATGTTGCCTAATATCAGCACTATTGGACGAACAGATGCCCTGCTCAATCAACGTTGTCTTTTACATTTCGTGCTCAGCATCCACTTCAGGAAGACATGAGGCCACTGCTTTTCGTCATCGGAGCTGCTCTGCTTATTACGCAGATCAACGCCAGCAATAATATGTTTAACGTGAGCTGTTCGCACATTTTCGACGGTTTTAATTCTAACTGCAGCACCAAAGACACTTACTTGATACTTGGATGAAATACCGTCAATGGATTTTTTAAAAGCGTGTCTTTGGAAATGAACTACATTACGTAAGTACTTGCATACAAAACGGCCCGTCCTCACTGGTTGTGCGGGCTCCACCACAATCTCCATTTTCCAGAGATTTGCTGGTTAAGCCATCGCGGTTTCCTGCAATCCCGAGGTCAGCCTGGCCAAAGTCTGCCCCAGGTCTTCACCACCACAGGCATTCGCAGCCCTTGTGGATGAGAGGGAGATTTGCCACCACGTGACTTTGATACCAGTACGGTGGTGAATACTTGTATTGGTTTACTCTTAGTTAGGCTTCCTGATGGAATCGCCGAACTCCTTCTCAACTTAGGAGACCCCGCCAGTGGATGAATCGTCCGCTGTGCATCGCAGTCCGACTCCCAGGAACACGTCCCAGCCACCATGAGGCGGTAAACCGTTGGGAGGGCCACATCGAAGCACACCTAGCAAAGGCCTATGCCGTAGTTTGTTTTTATTATGGCCACCCGCCGATTGTGATGCACTTCTCCATTGTTAATATTGTTCGAAGAAAGATGGCTTGGTCACTATCACTAGAGAGTTAACACAACGTACACGCACAAGTGGGCAGAGGTGAGCACCATCGAGGCACATCACATTTATTCTTATCAAAGCCGCACAGTTGCTTGCGTAATTTTTCCAAAATGATTAAATTGCTGTTTTAATAAACTTTAATTTTAAAAAACGTTTAAAATCTTTTCAACCATTCCTGCGCAATGTTCGAGTAATTTCATACGGTGCCGTTTTCTAAGAATCAAAATCATGGCACCTGTGATCAAAATTCTGTGGACTCCAAAGAATGTTTGTAAAATACTGCAGTACTTAAAACCAGAAAACGGATTTCATTCATTGCTCGGACGTCCGAAGCAGCCTGGACACTAGGTTTGATTCGCACCGTGCCCACTAAAGCTCTCATCTCTCCAGGGTGGAGAAATTAGTTCCAGAATTGTACCCGACAAACTTTTTTATATATCACGTGAGAGTGCTCTATCATTTGTCTAAGGATTCCAGGAATAGGGAAACAACAGCCGAACCCAGACACCAAAAGTTTGAAGGCCTTTGTGGTTGGTGGATGCGAGAAAACGAGTCGAAACCAAGAAGTTCTGGGGTCTGCAAAATTAGATGCATGTGATGCGAGTCTATGTAATGTGATGTTATGACTTGAATTGTGGAAAGGAAAAGATTGGAATAGAACTTTCCCGTTATCAGTTCCATGTCACGGCCTGAAATTCTTGTTTGAAAAATTGAAGCGAGTTGGGCACAAGTTTCAAATCCTTTGATGGGGAGCTTATAGTCTTCTGTTGGGTTCTTTATTTTCCAGTAATATAAGGAAAAGATTTTATTAAGAATATCCTGCTCATGTACGACTTGTCTTGTTTTCCTTGGACATTGACAGGAATACTTTTCCAACTTACGGGTGATTCGAAAGCTCGCATGGAAAAGGCGGTGATCGGACTCAGTGTGAAAGTTTCACCATCTTCTGTTCGTAAAAATGTGGTGGATCTCCAAATGTGTCATGCCGCCCGGAGACTCCCATATTGATGAACGACTTTATCTCTTCTCTAAAAAAGAATTTCATGCCGCCTGCAGGTGTTTAACAGGTCGGTTCCTATTCTAATTTCGTTCTATTATTTCGAGTTATCCTATTCTTTTTCAGTCTTCGTTGGTCGTTCTAAATCCGGCATTGTAGTCTCTAACGGCGAGTGCACAGAAAGATTTCTCATTGGAAATTACTTCTTCCAACTCTACACGCGTCTGCAAGGCTACAGAACGCGTCTAATTAGTTCTCGTGAATTGCACAATAGCAGTTGATAATGCCGGCCTTCTTTTAAAGTAGAAGTTGGACACGAAGAATAACCAAACGCGGTGATGGGATTCTGTATGAGGTGGCTAGATGGGAAGTAGAGGAGTGTCCGACAAAGCGAACGCCTCTGAGATTTCGTAACTGAAATTTGCCTTGATGAATGACAAGAATGTAGTTACCGGGAGTGGTGTACGTCGGTCTTACTGCTTTCCATCCAATATAGGGCGATCACACAAAATTTTATTCAGCGTTAAGAAAAGGGTACAGATCGGCGTCTGACATTCTGATGTTACTGTTGCAGCGCGAGATGCAGTGGTCGCCACGGCGCGTCGTACTTATATAATTATAATTTTGAAACATGTGTAACTCTCAGACCGACGTGTGTTTTTTCAATTTTTATCATGTTGATAGCTGGTAGGAAATAAGGCCTACTAATGAAAAATAGCTTATTGATGTGGTAATGCGGAATACACCACTATTCTGATGGGCTGATGGAATTTTTTCCAACCTAAACTTTTACCAAGTTGAAGAAGTTGAAAAAATCTATTGTTTAGGAATACTTCAAGCGTGGAATGTACGAATGTGCGCTGGACTATCTCAAAAATATCCAGGAAATTCATCACCTTTTTCAGGTAGCACCTGTTTTTTCCTACAAAACACAAAATCAAACACCTCCTCTTGCAATCTGAAAGAAGATATTGAGTGAGGAGAATTCAGCTGAGGAAGAGTACCCATCTCGTTGCACTAGTCCTGCATTGAAACCTTTACCACTTTTAAAAAACCAGATTTCTGCTTTAATGCCCACATAGCACCTCTCATTTCCTACATTATTAATTTACTGTGCTGATGGCAACAACTCAAAGATACATTAAAAATTCACCGGGAGGATTTGCGATCTGTGCAATTCTTCTACGCACTACGGCGTCTCTAATGCTCACTTTCTCGACCTGCAATTTCTTTCTCGCTTGCTTTCCACTTCTCCTAAATTTAGTCTACTACTCTTCTACTTTTAGCTTTCCTCATACTAACATACCCATCATTGTCAGTCTTCCATCAACTCATCTGTTCCTTTTTGCTACTTTTCCGCCTTGCAATTTAATGCTTCTCATTGACACTTGAATAAACTGATCACTACCGCGGCTGATTAGCTTCGAGTGGCTTGTGCCATCCTCTGAAAATAAAGAAATAGTAGTTTTAAAACAATACAAAGTTTTTGTATACTTAAGAAAAAGTTGCTTTTCAGAAAGCTTCAGTCCAGCAACAAGAGTGCCATGCAAAAGCTGCTGTTACAAGCAAGAGTTTTCCGATGACGAGAATCGCTCCTTTGGACGAGTATATCGAGAAAATGCGGCAAGAAGAAGAAGAAGATTGGGCAGAAAAAACTACTCCTGGCAGAGCTTAGAAAATGGAGTTTCCTCATAAATGTGGTTTTCGCTTTGCTGTTTCGAAATGTTGTCCTAATTCACTGTGAAAATGATCGGTGAAGAATTCATGGGGCTTCGCAGATGTCTTCAATAATCAACGGTTGAACCGCCTTTTACCTTTCACCAATCAGCTGTTAGATGTTAGAGCTTCTCAGTACTGAGTGAGAGGAGAATGTTCCATATTGAAGGCCTGCATTCGATGATGTCGTTTCGTTGTTCTCGACTTTGTAGCGATTACGATCTTTGAATCTTTGGTAAACAGTAGTGGTTTATTCAGTGAGTACTGAGTCCTCTTTCTGTCAAAAATACTGAGTTTTGAGCCATAATAGAGACGTAGAAGAATTGTAGTTCTAACGGAAGATAAGAAGTGAAGTGCAAAACATATATCACTAACTAACTCTAAGTCGGGAACTTTTGTGGCTAAATGTTCTAGCATGAAAAGACGAGTGAAGAAACTTGTCACGATAGTGACTGCTAAGAGTTCGCTTTCACGTATCTGCTGAAGTGACCAAATTGACCACGAGGCCTACTCCCATAATAACTCATTTCATCTTCTAAGATGGAAAAAACGTGCTTGTCAGTAGTCACATTATTTCAGGTTATTTGAAAAACACGTAAAGAAACTTAAAGTTTTAATTTTTATTACGAATAGATCGCCACATACTATGCGAATACCAGCATTTCGTCCACTCTCGTTTCTCCATAACTGTTGTCCACAAACGACTTTCGATTTTTCGCTGGATTCGGCTGTGAATTGTGAGTTTGATGTTTCTTGTGTATATCATTGAATGCCTGTCGAATCGATTTTCATTGGAATCCTTCAAGAACGAAAGGAATGTTAGAGAGGTTTCTAGATCTTTATTACTGGAAAACACCATTCTTTGTGGAATGAAGAAGGCGCGATCAACCCGGGCAACCCTGGTATAAATTTATGGACACCAGAAGGCATGGCTGAACGATGGACGTGTTGAACTAAGACAAACGTCTCGCGCATATTGAAAAGCATCGTCACCACTAGGTTGCCCACATCTACTCATGTTGATTACTGGTCTAAAAATTCCACTTCAAATTGAATGTTAAACTTTTCATCTTAAAGTATGTTCGAATTCAAAAGAAAATCAAAATAGATTTGTAAGCAGTAATGATTAGCAGAGCTTGCTCTGTTCGCTTCTATCTTTTTGGTCGAAGCGATTATCAAAAAGCTTATAGACAGATTGCAGACTATTAAAAAAAAGTTGGGAAACATTTTAGGAAGATAGTGACCAGAAAGCACCATAGAGGCGGTACAGTGTGGTTGTCGCGTGTAAGACCTTGCCGCGGTCCCACCAAACCTTTGTCCTCCGTGTTCTGCAAATTAGTACTATGCTTATCGAGCAAAAGCTTGCTACCTCCCATCCACAAAGATCTGTTTCGTTTTAGGCAACCCGAGACCTAAAATCGTTCTAGGAAAGCTATCCCAAGCCGTGTTCTGCAAATTAGTACTATGCTTATCGAGCAAAAGCTTGCTACCTCCCATCCACAAAGATCTGTTTCGTTTTAGGCAACCCGAGACCTAAAATCGTTCTAGGAAAGCTATCCCAAGATTTCAAAGAGAATTTATTCGACCGGTCTGCAACAGTCCAATGGAAAAACGAAATCCTCAATGAGGAGTTGAACCCGTCCCAAAATTCAAAGATGCTAGTAAATAATTGGTGGAGGAAACCGATAAAACGAAAGAAATGCTGGAGCACGCACAGCATATGATGTCGAATTATGCTGTAACAAGTATTAATAACAAAAAATCTTTATGTGCAGGGCTTATTCCTTGCTATTGTAAAGAAATATCCTAGACTTTTAATCGAGATATAGTGTGCGAGATTCATTTTGATGGGGCTTCTGCAGAAAGGAAAGAGTTCAACATTTCCATTGTTAATCCCATCAAAAAGTAATTCTGCGCCAGAAATCTCTGACCCAATTGAAGAAACATAGTCTCGAAGCACTAAAGTCCTCTCTAGTTCTCTAAAGCCAACGACTGCCTATGGTGAGCCTCTGGGATGGCTTATAACTGGTATTCCGGTAATGTAGGAAAAAGAGGAAGAATCTGCCTAACCAACCGAATACCAACCAGATGGCAATTTTTTTTTTTTGAATCACTCTGCGTCCATATAAAAGAACACCTCGTCGATAAACGTAAAGTTAAACCAAATACTCCACTAGGCACATAAAGGACACAAAGACACAACGAGGAGGATTTTGAAGTACAAGTTACGATCCTCACACAGGAGTCGAAGGCACAAGCGCGAAAATTCTCGAGACATTCTGGATTAATTCCAGGAATTCGAAAATGAACAGCAGAGAGGAATGCCTCATGTTCAGGCTCGAAATGGGACAGTATTTAAGGCTGCTATTCTGGTGGGAGGAGGGGGCACATCACTCCTCCATTTGAACTCTGTGCCGTTGGTCTTCACGTGACATACTCAGTAGTAAACTCATTGAAATCGGTGAGTGTGTGAAGAAGCTACTTTGTTCCCAACGCGGCTGAAATTTTGGTTCAGTATTTTCTGCTTAGTTATGGAGTCGTTGTTAGTCAGACTGCGGTCAACTTTACCTTTCCAGGCTCTGAAGGAGACGAAATCCGCTGAATCGTCAGCATCACTTTCGGCGAAGAATAAAACAGTTTGTTGTGATGCTGAGATATTTGCAAAACTCTGCACCTCAGGTGTCTGCGGTGGAGAACGAACGCGTTATTGTCCTTTCCGGGGAGTGACGCATTCACTACCACACCATGCGGGTCCTTCGTCTCGCCTGTCTCTCAGCCAGTTCTATCTAATAGTTATATTTCGCAAAATACCCTGCCGTTAAAAAGAATAGGCAGTAAATAGAAAAGGTTAGAACAGTTTGTGTTTGCTCAACAAGAATACAGTGAAGTATTTGATCAATGCCGAGGTCAACAGAAAGCCGAACTTGAAAATTACTGGCAATTTTTGAACTTCATATTAATTTAACAACTGTATCAGCACCAAATTGCTAACGGATATGTCTGCCTACTGCACCAACGATATCAACGTGTTTTGTTTTATCCCAGTGATCCTTATGAGTGGACGTGACCTCTGTAGGAATCACACGATACGAAAATAGTAGCACCTTATAAAACTAAATCGATATGTCCTTGTTTATCGTGAATTTTGTTAATTGCTAAAAAACTATTAAAATCTACAGGCCTTTTCCTACAAGGTAAAGGTTGGACTGTTTTGCCACGGTGTAACTATGGTCTTTCGGAGCCAAAGAAATGTCATTCTTCCACGTTCTTTCTTCAAGGTCCAAATTTCGTATACGAAGACAAACGAAGAAGCGGGATTCTGATCAGCGAGAAACGATGGTGTTCTCACTGCATTGTTCATTTGTGTACCTGTCGTATTTCAGCCGGAAAAATTTCTGAAAATCCCTGGTTCTGAACATGTTTGAATTTGGAGGGACACTACATAAGAACTGAATACCCTATTAATGACTAATTAATGAGAGAGATCAAAGTCTGTACTGCAGATCCACTAAGTTCTGAGTTCCCAGAAGCTTCAATGATCGAAAAATTACCATCAAGTATCGAAAAATCGTCTGGGTTGCAAAAGAACTAGTGAGCAAGATGCACTTAAATTCTACATGGACATCTACAAACTTGTGTTTTAATGTGCTCTCCGAAGACAGCAAACAGCGGGGAAATGTGAATTTCTCCTCAACACTCCATCATGAGTAGTTTGACACCTCATTGACTGTTTAAGACGATAGCTTTGTGTTCAAATTGTGAACGTTTGAAATTTATCTCCGATCAGGAACGACTGTTGTGCGGCAATGGATCCTTTCACAATTGTCTTTGGCTTGTGTGTTGTGACATTTCTACACCCTTTTCTGATTTCGCTCTGATAAGAAGCATTTCCTTCAAATGCTGCGCAGACCACACTTGCATCCTGACCACTACTTCAAGACCTTCGAGAATTATTGCTTGGGTTTTTGGAAACAATGAGATTGGTCGAAATGTTTGTGACGTTTGGACGGAAGAGTTTTATTCAGCACCAATCAGCTTTTTCCAATAATTCGGATATGGTTGAAGACACCACTTATACGTTTAATATTCAAGTGATGTAGTGTAAGCAAAGAAGTGCGGAAATTCTTCAAAGACAGAAGATATTCTAGCGTGGCACTACACAAATTGCTTACTAGGAAAAACAGGAATCGTTGGAAAAAAGGTTAGCAAAATACAACCAGAATAGGTTCGGGTCTAATGGGGCTCCAATTTTGTTCGACTTTCTTCATTGCTTGTAATTTTTGCAGGAAGGCAGCGGGCTCTCATTACGTCAACGAATCGTTTTGAAGGCTCCAATGGTTCGAAAAATTTCCTGTTCCTAAACATGAACATTCTAAATATAGCGTGCTAAGAACGACAATTCACTATGTAGCTAATAAAAGTAGTGCCAAAAATAAATATCTAATCGATTAAGTAACTTATGACGCACTCAAATCTCTTCACAGCCACCAATATAAGTACAATTCCGGTGATTACGGATAACCACATCGGAAACATCAGCAAGAACTTTGTTCGAATTTCTGAAGAACCAACTTTTGTTGAGAGAATCTTTTTTGGATCACCGATATTCACAAGACAAGAGGGGCGCTTTTGTAACAGAAAGAGATAATCCGGCATAAATATGAACACCCTCCACACTAACAATCCCAAATGCCTCTAAGTTGATCATGTGTGAAAATCATGAGCATTAGTTATTTTGAAGAGGTAGCCGAAGCTTCTGCTGTATCGGCTCAAAGCTAGTACAGATGGACAGTTTCAATTATCCATTACGAAGTCGAACATCTGCAGCACCAACACGATTTATTGAAGGGTTGACTTAGTTGCTGTTTCAATCCACTTTAGTTGCTGCAGCACTTTTACTGTTACTTGAATTTCTTAGCGATTTTAAAGAAACTCAGCTGCGTTCAATGTTGAAATATA